TGGCTCTCAGCCCCACCTCCTCTCGCCCTGCCTCCCCCTGTGACGAGTGCCCTTCTCTCAAACCCTGAAACCCTGCCCACCCAAGAAGCCTCGGCTCCGGGCCTCCTTCTCGCTGAAACCGTCTTGGATTTCTCGCCCCTCCGATCAGATTTAATCTCTCCCTCACTTCGTCTGAGAAATCTGCATCTCACCGCGCGTCCCCTTCCCTGCATCCTTACAGGGTCCCCATCACCCGCTGCTACAGGATCCCGAGCTCCCTTACGGAGAGGCACCGGCACAGCCCCTGGTGTGCAGCAGATTCACAGAGTCCGCTAAATCCGGGGGGTCCTCGCGGAGGCCGGGCGTGGAAAAGAACGCCCAGCTGCACGACACACACACTTGTGACAGCAACCCCACGACGTGCAGGCACGACATTTCTGGGCTGGCGGTGACCTCAGGGACCACCCGGCGGAACTTTCCCCTTTTAGAGATGAGGAAACCAACGCTGGGAGTGGGGGACGAGGTCTAAGCGGCCAGAGTGAGCGAAGGGCCGTCCCCCTTCAGATTCCGGCCGTCCCCCCGACTCCCCATCAGACTGTCCATTCTTACTGTCAGACGTTAACGAACGCAATCCCCTAAGATCTGGAGTGGGAGAAAAAAACATCGGCGAAAAGGAGAAAAGAAAGACCCTAACGCGTCTGCTAATGATGCCTTCCGCTTTCAGAATCCTGGCTTCACACAGCAGTCTCCACGCCACAGACGAACCCATCCACCCACGAAAACACGGGAGCATTCATGCTCGCTAAATCACACACACGTTGATTTCTGCTTCCGTCACTATAAAAATACCCATCAAGGAAGGCGGAAAATCAGAGCGGTTATTGCCCACGTTTAGCCCCTAAAAGACCCACGGGCTCAGTGAGCTGGATATTTTAGGGAAGAGTCTTTTTACTTCCCTCGTGCACGCTGACCGATACTTGAACGGGAGGGGAGAGTCTCACGTCTTCCGTTTCTATCGGCTGGCGTTCTTCTTAATCAATAACCAAGTCGGCTCTTTTACACCCTCTCGCTGAACAAGGCAACACTCAGCTCCACAGACAATTTCTCACAGCTGACTGTATTCGAAAAAGTAATTACATTTGGCAAAAATAAAATGAAATAAAATAAAATTGCCCTCATTTTCTGTTGTCGTCAGGCAAGCGGCTATCGGCGAGACTGGTTCTCCCGTTAGATAGATACTGCAGTGCAGGAATTTTAAGCGCAGCCTGCATTCCAAAAAAGCAGAGTGAGGACAGAGTGATCCGTCCCCAAATCCTAAAGTAAATAGCATCACCTTCCTGGAACCCTAGAGCATGCCAAAGAGCTCTCTCACTAGGCCTGTGGGTAATCACAGGAGGACATCAAAAGAACAGCACGGACTCATGAGAAGAGGGAGTCACCGCCAGTCTCACCAGTCCTCAGTCCCCACACTTGTCCCGCTGCGGCTGCCCAGGACCCCAGAGGAGGAAGCATGCGGGGCGTGGCCAGCATGTGGGTTCACTCTAACCAGCAGTCAGCTAAGGGAATGTCGCACCGAGCCCGGCCTGCGCCAGGACGCCAACAAGCCAACATGGGCCCCTGGGTGCCAGTAAAGAGCTCAGTAAGGAGGTAAGAGCCACCCGGGGTCGCCGACTCTGGCCTGGAAAGGCATCGTGAGGACTACGGCGTCTGAGCTGGGCACAACAAGCTGAAAAGTGGGGAGACAAAAATCAGAGGTACGAGCATGCCGGGCAGAAGCCGTCATTTGAGCGTAGGTGGGGAAATGGGAAAACGAAGCATGGAGTGTGGGACGTGGCCTGGATTAGAGCAGGGAGGTCTGGGGAGAAACTTGGAAAAGAAGGGCCTCGCAGAAGGCAGGGAAAGCCACGCCAAGGAGCCCCCGGGAGGTGCTCCGTGCAGAACCCCGAAGGCCATGGCCGAGCTGTGTGTGCAGACTGTTCCGGAAACCTAACTGTGTGCGAGCCGCTGAGGACACACCTCAAACTCAGCGAATGAACAAACGTCAAGCCCCTTCCTCTCGGCCCAAATGAAAATACAGGAAGCACTCTGTACTCATTTTGGACCACCACCCACAGCCCTCACTCGCCTCACGCTAGGCAACCAACGCAAAAGACGCTCAGGCGTTCTCTGGTAAGCTACCCTACTGGACTTTCCACAGAGATCTCTCTTTTCTGGGGGACAAACAAAAATGCAACTGTGCCCTTTTATGTTGCGATGTCCAGTGAGGAACAGGAGTAGATTTATGTTCCAAAGCCCAAAATGATTCAGGCCGTGAGCTTCTCGGTAGCCTGACGCGGGAGAGTTTCTTGCAACTAAAAATAGGTGTAATTTTCGGCGTCATGCGAGTCGAGGCAGGTCCCCAGTGGATTAATCCTTCCGAGCGAGAGGTCAGCCGTGGTGAGGCCGTGGGGAAAGGGGCCAACACACAGGCTGTCTGCCAGACTGCGGGCTGGGCCTACCTCCGCGGAGGGCGATCTGGCCCCACTGATCAGATCCGCTCATGTGCTCGCCCTCCTACCAGAAATTCCACTTCTGGGACTTCACTGTACGCCAGCCCCGCCCCCCGTGTGTGCTGTCCTTATTTATTTATAGGCTCATCACACACAACGAATACTGCGTTTGAGTGCTTTGTGCATCACCGTGGGACATGGCGAGAAAACTGGTAACTACCTCCCCAGTTCGTCAACAGAGGGCTAGTTACAGACAGAACGGTTGACCCATATTACACGATTCGTGCAGCAGTGGAGAATGAGGCAGATCTCACAGGTAATGAAGCAGAAAGATGTATTACTAAACGACGCACGCACGGGTGCGTCTCAGGGGCCTGGGGACAGCGCCCGTGGATTTTAAGGACAGCGGGACAGAACAAAACCAGTCACGGTGGCTCCATTTCTGGGGAGTGGATCAGCTTGGTGCGGAGCAGAGAGGAAGAAGACACAAGCTCTGTACTCTCCAATTTCTCTAACTTTTCTTACTTCTCTGAATTTTTTAAAGACCCACGTATTACTTTTGTGATTTTTTGCGGGGGGTGACATCTGGAGAAGTAAGCTCAAACCGATGAGCCGGGCATCTGAGAAATCCGAGTTCTCCAACCCACCAGGGGCTGAGGGCTGCGTCCCAGCCACCCCGCCCTCACTGCGGCATCAGGCTCAGGAGGCCAGAGACCGTGTCTGCCTCATGACATCCCCCGCGCCTGTCCCTGGGCTAAGCACACAACAGGCACTCAGTAAAGGCTGGACGAACGAATGAATGAGGGGCAGGAAAGTCTACTCCATTCATCTGTGCTCAGAGCACCGGCATGGCTTTGAGTGCCCATCCCCCACCCCATTGTCACCTACAACGGGCCACAGGTGAGCGGCTCAGCCTGGGAATCACGGCCTGGTTCTCCGGCCTGACATCCCCTAACTCTGTGATTCCTCACCTTCCTCCGCCATGGCAAGGTGGGGCTGTCCTGGGTTGGCCTAAGGCACCTTCCAGCTCTGAGAGGCTGAAGAACAGGGGTGCCTGGGTGGCTCAGCGGGTTAAGCGTCCGACTTCGGCTCAGGTCACGATCTCACGGTCCGTGAGTTCGAGCCCCGCGTCGGGCTCTGTGCTGACAGCTCGGAGCCCGGAGCCTGCTTGGGATTCTACGTCTCCCTCTCTCTCTGCCTCTTCCCTGTTTGCGCTCAGTC